CTTTTTTGAAGGTGCTTAAACCCCCCAACAAAATACCTTAAAAAAAAAAAAACCAAAAAAAAAAAAAAAAAAAAAAAAAAAAAAAAAAAAAGAGAGAGCATATTTCTAACTGAGTTACACATGGAGTCCATTAAAATGGTTTTTAAAAATCGCCCCACCTGTTCTCCATGCACAGAGCGTCTATGTCCAGGAATCGGCTCTCGTCGTTCCCCATGATGTGGTTCATTTCTACGTTGAGCCGGTGAGCCTTCTGCTGGAACACGTCCCGCTCGGCTCGCACGTCCTGGAGCTCGTCCGTCAGCGACTTCACGCTGTGCACCAGCACCTCGTTCTGCAAGAAAAAAATTCAATGGTAAAATATGCTGTAATAATAAACAATAACGTAAAATAAAAAATAAAAAAAATGACTGAATAAATATTTAGTTAATAAAATAAAAAGTAAAAGTACAACCATAAATAAAGTAACATAGCCTGAGTTTCATTTTAAGCAGATACGGTTCGTGTAAGCTCAAAAACAGATCATAGCAGAACAGTTTCCTAAAACTAGACAGAATGTTCAACTTCCACTTACAAGTGAAGCAAAAAAAACATACATTCAGTTCTGCCGTGGTAAGCACACTGCCGACATTCAGTCGTTGAAACGGTACAGCTTTCCTGCCTTTAGATTTGCTAAAACAGCACAAACTATAAAAAGGTGCGGGCTGATTAAATGACGGCAAAGCTGTTGGAGAATATCCTGCTAAGGAGTCTAAACCACGCAGTCACCTGTTCCCTCGCTTGCTCCAGCTGTTTCACAAGATCCTCTCTCTCGTGTGCTGGAAAATGTCGAGCTCCGACCTCCTCATCCCCCAGCCTCTGCTTGGTGATGGTCATCCGCAGAAGCTGCAGGAAGACAGCAAAGGAGCTCTAAAGGTTTTATGTTGTGGTTAGACTCATTGTTTTCCTCCAATCAACTTCTCAGCTAATCCCTCACATTTTGCTGCGTACTGATGTGACGAAAGTCGTACCTTGTTGTCACCCTGAGCTTCCAGCAGTCGCTGTTTGAGCTCCTTCATCTCCTCAGAAAGCTGACTGTTTCGTTCTCTGGAGTCTCTCAGCAGCTGAGCTAAATTCACCTGAGTGGCAAAAAGCTCAAATAATCACATGTAAAGAAGCGCTGGGAATTCTGTATTGTTATTGTATAGTTGCTCCCCCAGAGAGGGCCTGAGTCAGCAGGCTTCTACTCCGTCATCAATACCGTCTCATCTGGTCCTTAAACAGCCACTATGTCAGCGAAGACGCATGCTGCGTGCGCAGATTATTCTGCTGAATGTCTGTGGTGTCACTGGAAACTTAAAGCACGGTTTGAGCAAACAATATAATCAGGATGAAATCACTCACTTGGTTCCTTTTGTCAGGTGGCAGAGAGAGATCCCCATCCTGTTTGTTGTAAAAGTAGAGTACAGAATGTAAACACTGATTCTATCCTCTGCTCTGCTCCCTTATAAGAAATATTTTAAACTTCAGCTTACAATGAGTTCTCTGTACTTCTTTTTGAGCCCCTGGTGTCGCTCCCGGAGCTGGTTGGCCATCAGTTTGTACTGATCCCTCTCCTGCTGACAGGTATCCAACTCCTTAGACAGTATCAGAAGAGCTTCCTTTTTACTGTCCAGCTTACGCTTACAAACCAGGAACTGCACAGAAGGAAGACGTAGCGTGACATTAGTTTTCGGTAACAAAGCATCCTGAAAGTCACAGTCTCTGAATCCATGAAGTAAACATTTATTAGAACTCTAACCCTACAGAACACAGGCAGATCAAAGAGGACGTTTTAGAGAAGTTGGGTTATAAAACAACATCGCAATCAAAAAATAACTCTTACAGCGCATTGTTCAATAGTTAAAAAATGGAAAGAATATGACATAACTCCAAACCTACCAAGTCATGACCTTGATGCATTAAACATCGGGAAAGCTAACACTGCAAATCCCCCTGAACACACCGTCTCCAGTGAAACATGTTAGTGGCATCAGACTGTGGGGTTGCTTTTATTAAGCACCGACAGCAACACTGTTCAAAGATGATGGTGAGATTGAAGGAGCCATCACAAATCCAGGGCACTGTGTGTGTGGAGTAAGTTGAAATTGCTTATCTGACTAAAAAGAATGATGGAGAAAAATGTCTTTTTCTAGCGGGTAAAGACATACCTCTAAATATTTACAGCTTTAAATTGCAGCACAAAGTGGTTCTGCAAAAAAAAAAAAAAAGATTCAAAGCCACTGAATACATTTCAGCACTACTTTAAAAAAAATTAACACAATGAATCATTGCTCTTCCACTAAACAAATAGCGTTTGTTTCCCCATAAGTTTGTAACAAATATTGAAAAGTCATGCTTGTACTCGTGTACTGCACTGTACTCGTCAGTGAAGCCACAAGGAAATAAACAAGTATTTCCTCATACTAGAACAGCTTCAGAGAGACTGCAGCAGCAGAGATTTTTACACATCATGCTAAACTGAATTATATTTTATAGCTGCCCGTGACATGAATACTGTTAGTTTTAGTTTAAATAAAGTGACCTTACTGTGTGTTGCTGGACATTTATTCCACCCTAATGGGATGCATTAGTGGACATTTCCACGCTCTCTCCTCAGTCTCACCTCATTAACCAGCCCCTGCCAGTCGCTTTCGCTCCTCCTGGACGGATCCATCTCACCTTTCGATTCAACCGATTAAAGTTGACCAAAAATCCGCCTGAGTTTCAGCTTTGCATCACTGCGTCAGTTCGGCACAGTTCAGAGACATCTCGCATTATCAAATTGGATTAGCTGATGGAGGACGTGAACTGCATCACTTCCGCTAAGGCCTCAGCGTCACTTTTGCGTCATGGTGCATTCACGAGCGCTGTTAAATTAAGCCACGCCATGTAATATCTGGCTGAGTCAAACTGTTGCATTACTTTTCAAATAGGATTTAGGCATAATGTTTTGACACTGGGGCGTAAAACATTTCCAGAGATGTCAAAAGTACTCACCTTCTCTACTAAAGTATGAAACAATACTCCACTAAAAGCAAAAGTACAGGCTAATATGGAAGCCAGTTTCCGCCACTCTGGTAAAAAATAAAATAAAATTAATTATCTCATTATTTTGAGATACTATCTCGTTATAGTGTGATGATTTATTTAAATTTTTAACAGAGTTGCAGAAACGGGCTTCCATAGATTAAACTGTTTTACTAAAGTAAATGTAAAAATGTAAAACATTTTGAAATGTACTTAAGCACAAAAAGTATAAAGTAATTTTCATCTTCTAGAATACAAAATTACTTTCAATACATGCAAAATACTTAAAAAGTTCTAGTCATATCAAAAAATATTTTTTTCTCTTGTTGACAAAATAAAGAAAAGTGTATTTCAGAAAGCTTTATTGTACATTTTTAATAAACAATTTATGATATTTATGATATTACTTAAAGTTTGATCAAAAGACCCAAAATTTATGGAGAGTGAATGGTTTCAATAAATCAATGACACTTTAAATAGTTATTTCACAAGTGTCATTTGGCACTTTCCACTCTCCATAAGTCAGGACATACTGAAGTAACAATTAATATTTTGAAAATTTATATTTTTCTTTTTTCTTAAAAGCCAGTTCATCCCTAATATAGCTTTAGGGATAAAAACTATATGAGGGATGTAGTTATATACATTTCCACTGTTTCTCTAAATTATTATAAAACTGTATTAGAGGTAAACCGGGTAGTAAAAATGCTGTCTCTCTTTCCTGTGAGATAGCAGGAAAGTACATTTGTGAATTTAAATAGAAGACACAACAAAACACATTTTATTCCATCTAGTTTGGTCAAACAATTTTTAATGCAGTTCCTCAATTCATTTTTACACTAACCTAGTTGTAGGTATGTTAAAGTTTCTAATGACTGCTTTAGGGTTAGTAGAAAGGAAAAAATATATAAACATAACCACAGAGTCAGATAAAGTAGCTGTGGGAAGGAAAATATTGTTTTTTTTTTTGTTGTTTTTTTGTTACCTAGACAAAGATCTGGACAATAATACAAAAACATATTGCTTATAGGGGTTAACATTATATAGCTTTCATCTGTCAGACAGTCAGTCCTACACCATAGCATGATTTGTGTGGCCAGATCTGTGCAGCAGGTGAAAATTATAGAAACAATTCTCCATTCAGCAAAGAAATTGGTCACACATTAGAGGAATAATGAAAATTTCTTCCTCACAATTTCTGAAGTTATAGCAGCACTCAACTTCTTATTTTTATTTATATACTTTGCATAGATAACAACAAATCATATATATTTCTTGCTGTCAATCAGGCACTGGGTTGCAAAAGCTTTTTATGATTATAAACTTAAGCTCGTGCGAGTTACCTACTGCATTCAGTTTGTTATTGATCAAGAAAAACATCCTCACATTCAGTCATATCAGTGAAGTTAGAGGAAAATCTGAAGTGATTCTGTTACCTGAACATAAACAGTTTCTGAACTCTCTTCCCTGATGAGTAATGGACTACAATCAGCTCAAATGTCTTGTGTTTGACTATTGGATTTGTTGGATTTTGATCCCATAACGAATCATGTGCTACACAAATAATATGTTGTCTACATAATCCTGAATTGATTGGCCAAGTCATAGTTTCCAAAGGCTGTTTGCCAGAACTGACACTCTCTGGCTCAGCTCTATTTTGTTTGCTAGGATTATTATAAAAGCCAACCCATAATAAGAATCTGCTTTGCCGTAACATTATCTTCATGCACCTTAATTTCCAAGATTGCTGTTGCTTCGTCCATTATGCCAAAATCTCTTGAGTTTTGTCTGATTTGCAGAACCATCCTGACAATTTTCATGGTGAACAAACCCATAAATCTGATTGCATAAGTAAGGTTATACAGCATGTAAAACTCTTTTGTAAGTGTTCACACCATTTCAGTTTAAGAGACTCTTCTTTGGTCTTTTACAGACTCAGGTCTACAAACACATGCTCAAAGACCATGGATTTTCCCTTCAGGCTGGAGGAGAAGATGAAACTCCTGCGATCAGTGGTCACAACAGTAAACGAACGGGGTGACTGCACGTAAATATCCTTGAACTTATGAAATGTTTTCGTCTCAGTGTCCCACAGGTGTATCTGCGTGAACGAGTAATCGCTGCCGAGAGCTAAGTAATGTCTATCTGCAAAGGTAAAAGGTTGGAGGATCATTGCTCCTCTAGAGGGAAGTGCCTGCACCTCAGTAAACTGCTTATTGACCCACTTAATGACTTTGGAGTCACCGATGTAGCAAGCTAGGGCCAAAAACAGTTCCCCCTCCACTCGAAATGCTTTGACTGATACTACATCGTCAACGTTTGGGATGTCACTGTGAAGGATGAACTTAAGGGTGCTTTTGTTCCACAGGTAGATGACAGGTGACTGGGAGCGGCTTGCTAAAACTAGATAGAACTTCCCATCCACCTCAACAATCTCAGCATCTGTATCACGAAACCATTCATGGAGGAACTGGTAGGAATAGAAACCAGTCTCGTTGCGGTCTGGCAGGTCAGTCCACTTGTAGAGAGTAGACATGCCTGCCTTGGAACTGTCCACAATCAGAAAATACCAGTTCCCATCCATCTGAAAGACCTCCATGTCATTTGGCTTTGAGATGTTGAAGACCTCAATGGTTTGGAACTTGGTGAACTTGTTTTGCTGCTCATCAAACTTGTAAATGTGGGAGCCTCCAAAGAGCTGAGTGATGATTATCAGGACGTGGTTTTCTATCAGAAAGGACTTGCATCCGACAACAGATTTACCTGTAAAGAGAAAAAAGGTTGTCAGTTTTAAATACCACTCCCAGTGTAACATGTTGCTTAGCCATGTACAAGCTTACGACAAACTTGTGAAAACTCTCAGATATCATTTCAGCAAGATAACAATTACATAGTGTGATACGTGATATAGTAAAAAAACAAAGCTCTCAATGTCCTTCATGATGCTTTCTCCAGAACAATCCTCAGTTGTTGGGAACGCATGTCACAAAATCTTTAGAAATGAACTGAGCAGCCTTGATGAAACCGACCCGGAAATCTCATTTAACTCAAAGGGCCATGATTTTGATTACACAGGACAATGGCAATATTTGCATACAAAATGGCATCAAACCACTCTAGTTTTCTGCTGCCATAGTCCTAGTCCATAGCTTACCTGTAATGTTGTCAAATTTTCTGAAATTCATTTCGATATGATCCCACTCCATGATCACACAGCTGTTGGAGTTAGGGGCAGCCAAGGCCACAAAGATGTCCTCTTTAAATGAAAAAATGTCTGCCGACATGGACTGAATAGGAATAGACTGATGACGCACAAAATCTGGCAAAAAAAAAAGACAAAAAGAAGAGTTTTTGAATCAAGGAACTGTTTAAACAGCAATTCGACTAGTGGTAACTTTTATCTTTGGAGGACTACAGCTATCAAATTCAGCAGAAAGAGCCATAGATGCACTTATGATACACTGATAGTATAAATGCTTACAATTCTACAGTAAAAAGACAGAAACCTGCTTTAAATTGTTTTTTTGGTTTTTTTGGATTTAGATTTAGCCCTATACATAGCATAAGTTATTTCAGCACATTCTCTAGCAAAGGCTTAACCCACACATACTTTATGGGAGGGGTACATTAAAGTGCATCATTCATTATTTATAAAAACTCTTTTAGCAATTATCTGGATCAGTTGTGTTTTTCTGCCTGCATGCCATGTCAGTGTATACCTGCTGTAATTCTTTTTTTTTCTTTTTGGATGAACACTAACTACACATAACTGTAACAACATGGCAAAGAGCTATGTTTAAAATAACTGGTAATATAGTTCATAGCGCCACCATCAAAACACATATTGTTTAATAACTTTGCCTGGCTTCTGGAAAATAATGTTTTTAGGGAATATCAGTGAATCATTTGGACAC